GAGATTCCTTAGGAGACCTTTTAACCTCTCTGGTCTTCACAGAACATATCCTTACGTCCACAGAATGCTACAGAAACTACCTTTCCATGTATATATGCACCTAAATGACGCTAAAAGGACTTATGAGCAACAAATCATTTCTATGCATAACTCCATATTATGTATGTAACCCACACAGTTGGCTATCATGTTCTAATCACTTATTGTGTGTGTATTTTGAATAACTATTGAATAGTTTAAAGGATTATATTCATGTTGGATATGTATGACAATCAATACTTTGTCAAATGTATCATATTCTTGTTATAGAAATTGTCCAAAATTATACTCTGCAAGAGCGGGAAAATTCGGACCATGTGACTGATAAGATAACATTTGATTTATGAATTGGGAGGATAAATATAGCAACACCCAGAGCTAAGACAGTGTCTAATTGGTCAAAACACAAGTTGGGATGTGTCCAACAACCCGGTTTAAATACCTCATGCATGCAAAGCATGCGCACTACCTACATCCCCAGTTGGAAGGACATTTTCTACCCCTGACGTACAACAAGTTTTTTCTGCTACTGTAGGTTTACCAATGCTATTAATTCCAAATGTGGTAACTCTACAGGACCAAATTTAAATAGTTTTTCTGAAATTAAATTTTAACAGTGTGTGGACATGATGAGGATTGAACCCAGGACCACATACATGCAAAGCGTGTGCTCTACCACTGAGCTACATCCCCAGTTGAGAGGCACATTTTCTACCACTGACATACAGCAAGTTTTTTCTGCTACTATAGGTTTACCAATGCTATTGATTTCAGATGTGGAAACTCAACAGGACCAAATTGAATCCATTTTGATGAAATTAAAGTTTAACAGTCTGTGTAGATGGTGATGATTTAACCCAGGACCTCTTACATGCAAAGCATGCGCTCTACCACTGAGCTACATCCCCAGTTGTGAGGACATTTTCTACCACTGAGGTACAAGAAGTTTTTTCTGCTACTGTAGGTTTACAAATGCTATTAATTCCAGATGTGGTAACTGTACAGCACGAAATTGCAACCGTTTTACTGAAATTACATTTTAACAGTGTGTGGAGATGCTGGGGATTAAAACCAGGACCTCATACATGCGAAGCATGCGCTCTACCACTGAGCTACATCCCCAGTTGGAAAGCACATATTCTACCACTGATGTACAAGAAGTTTTTTTCTGCTACTGTAGGTTTACAAATGCTATTAATTCCAGATGTGGTAACTCTACAGGAACAAATTGAAACCGTTTTGCTGAAATTAAATTTTAATAGTGTGCAGAGATGCTGAGGATTGAACTCAGGACCTCATACATGCAAAGCATGCACTGTACCACTGAGCAACATTCCCAGCTGAAAGGCACGTTTTCTACCACTGAGGTACAACAAGTTTTTTCTGCTACTGTAGGTTTACAAATGCTATTAATTCCAGATGTAAATTAAATTTTAACAGTTTGTGGAGGTGCTGGGGATTAAAACCAGGATCTCATACATGCAAAGCATGCGCACTACCACTAGCTACATCCCCAGTTGGAAGGCACATTTTCTTTTCTTGTGTGAGCGTGTCGATTTGTTGTTGGCTGTATTCCAGGCTGTGGCGGAGTTGTTGAAATTCTTTGTGCAATACTTCTATTAAGGCTACTCTGGCGTCCAGTCCGGATAGTTTATTGTCTATGGATGTAAATATGTCGCTTTCCTCGGGACAGCACGGGGGTGTGGGGATGTGGGTGAAGGAGAAGAGTTGGATGAAGCGGGTGAGCCCGATATACGTGGCTTTTTGGCTTTTTGAGAGCGTCCCATGATGCAGAGTCTATTGTAGCATTCGTCGATGTAGTCTTCTAGGTGATCCAGGTCTGATCCAGGCACATTTTCTACCACTGAGGTTCAACAAGTTTTTTCTGGTACTGTAGGTTTACAAATGCTATTAATTCCAGATGTGGTAACTCTACAGCACAAAATTGAAACCGTTTTGCTGAAATTACATTTTAACAGTGTGTGGAGATGCTGGGGATTAAAACCAGGACCTCATAAATGCGAAGCATGCACTCTACCACTGAGCTACATCCCCAGTTGGAAGGCACATTTTCTACCACTGAGGTTCAACAAGTTTTTTTCTGGTACTGTAGGTTTACAAATGCTATTAATTCCAGACGTGGTAACTCTACAGGACCAAATTTAAATAATTTTTCTGAAATTAAATTTTAACAGTGCGTGGAGATGATGAGGATTGAACCCAGGACCTCATACATGCAAAGCATGCGCTCTACCACTAGCTACATTCCCAGTTGTAAGAACATTTTCTACCACTAAGGTACAATAAGTTTTTTTTCTGCTACTGTAGGTTTACAAATGCCATTAATTCCAGATGTGGTAACTCTACAGGAAAAAAAATTTAAACCGTTTTGCTGAAATTAAATTTGTACAGTTTGTGGAGATGCTGAGAATTGAACCCAGGACCTCATACATCCAAAGCATGCGCTCTACCACTGAGCTACATCCACATTTGAAAGGTGGTAATTCCAGAAGTGGTAACTCTACAGCACAAAATTGAAACCGTTTTGCTGAAATCAAATTTTAACAGTGTGTGGAGATGCTGAGGATAGAACCCAGGGTCTCATACATGTGACGCATGCGCTCTAACACTGTCCTACATCCCCAGATGAAACGCATGTTTTCTTTGTGTTGCTATAAATGCTATAAAGTCCAGTAGAGGGAACTCTAAAAGATTTCATTGTAATCCTTTGCATGAAACAAAGCTTGGAGATGCTGGGTATTGAACCCAGAACCTCATACATGCTAAGCATGCGCTCTACCACTGAGCTACATTCCCAGTTGCACAAAGAACATATTCTACCACTGATGTACAAGAAGTTTTTTCTGCTACTGTAGGTTTACAAATGCTATTAATTCCAGATGTGGTAACGCTACAGGACCAAATTGAAACCGTTTTGCTAAAATTAAATTTTAACCATATGTGGAGAAACTGGGGATTGAACCCAGGACCTCATACATGCAAAGCATGCACTCTACCACTGAACTACATCCACAAACGAAAGGCACTTTTTCTACCACTGAGGTACAACAAGTTTGTTCTGCTACAGTAGGTTTACAAACGCTATTAATTCCAGATGTGGTAACTCTACAGCACCAAATTGAATCCGTTTTGCTGAAATTGAATTGAACAGTGTGTGGGGATGCTGGGGATTAAAACCAGGACCTCATACATGCAAAGCATGCGCTCTACCACTGAGCTACATCCCCAGTTGGAAGGCACATATTCTACCACTGACATACAACAAGATTTCTCTGCTACTATAGGTTGACCAACGCTATTAATTTCAGATGTGGAAGCTCAACAGGACCAAATTGAATCCGTTTTGATGAAATTAAAGTTTAACAGTCTGTGTGGATGGTGGGGATTGAACCCAGAACCTCATACATGCAAAGTACACGCTGTACCACTGAGCTACATCCCCAGTTAAAGCCTTTTCTTTGTGTTGCTATACATGCTATAAAGTGCAGTAGCAGGAACTCTAAAGAATTGCATTGAAATTCTTTGCATGAAATTTACTAAACAGTGCTTGGAGGTGCTGAGAATTGAACCCAGGACCTCATACGTGCGAAGCATGTACTCTACCACTGAGCTACATCCCCAGTTGGATGGCACATTTTCTACCACTGAGGTTCAACAAGTTTTTTCTGGTACTGCAGGTTTACAAATGCTATTAATTCCAGACGTGGTAACTCTACAGGACCAAATTTAAATAATTTTTCTGAAATTGAATTTTAACAGTGCGTGGAGATGATGAGGATTGAACCCAGGGCCTCATACATGCAAAGTATGCGCTCTACCACTAGCTACATTCCCAGTTGTAAGGACATTTTCTACCACTAAGGTACAATAAGTTTTTTTTCTGCTACTGCAGGTTTACGAATGCTATGAATTCCAAATGTGGTAACTCTACAGCACCAAATTGAAACCGTTTTGCTGAAATTAAATTTTAACAGTGTGTGGAGATGCTGGGGATTAAAACCAGGACCTCATACATGCAAAGCATGTGCTCTACCACTGAGCTACATCCCCAGTTTCGAAGGCACATTTTCTACCACTGAGGTACAGAAAGTTTTTTCTGCTACTGCAGGTTTACAAATGATATTAATTCCATGGGCTTCATTTTTAAAATGTTGCGTATAAACCGTCTTAAATTTGTTCTAAGATAATTTCTCAAAAGTGAGTAAGTGGGATTCAGAGAAAACGAACGTGCGCACAAAAACACATGCGTCCGCATCTCTTCCAGATGTGACATTTATAAATCGCAAATGATCTTGAAATTGTGCGCAGCTGACTGGTGTCAGATCTCCGTTTTGTAAACACCCCCTAATTAATATCATTACCATATAAAAGAACACACGCCAATATCCGAATTTCTAAGCTTGAGAATTGAGGTCCTGCTGGCGGATCCTCTGGAACATCCATGCGCATTTCCTCTTCTGGTAGCCCAACCCCATAACTCAAGCAGATATTGTGCAGAACACAAGCCAAAACAATTTGGCACACTTTGACTGGATCATATAGGAGTCTCCCGCCCGATGCATCCAGACATCGCCACCTTCCCTTTAGTAGCCCAGTTGTGCGCTCCACAACTGACCGGGTGCAGGCATGGGACATGTTATAGTGGGCTTCTTCAGCTGTCTGTGGGTGCGCTATGGGGGTGAGAAGCCATGGCTTCAGAGGATAACCTCTGTCACCTATAATTGTATAGAGAATTATTTTTGAACACGAAAATGTAATAACAGCTAAACACAAATTTATTTACCTAGAAGCCATCCATCTCTACCTGCTCCTGCCTCTAGACGATTGCCCACGCTGCAGTTGCGCACAATGAAGGAGTCGTGTGTCGACCCTGGCCATCTTGCAACTGCATTAAGAATTGCCATTCGAGCATTGCAAATGAGCTGTACATTAATTGAATGGAAATTTTTCCTATTAACATACACATATTCATGTGCATGAGGTGCTCGTATGGCAACGTGAGTGCAATCTACTGCACCTAGGACATTGGGGAATCCTGTTTGGCGCACAAAATCATCCATAACATGCTGCTGCTCCTCGGCAGTGTATGGGAACTTTATGTACCGAGTGGACAATCGGATGATGCCTTGAAGCACAGCTGGCATAAGTCTACTCACAGATGGCTGGGATATTCCTGATCGGTCACCAATCTCTCTTTGAAATGTTCCTGTGGCCAGGAACCCAAGCACTGAGAGCACCTGTACCTCCACAGGTATGGCCTGGTTGGAGTTGGTGCATCTCTGTATATTAGGGCCTATCTGGGCACAAAGATGTAACAGTGCAGCTCTTTGCAAACGGTACCTGCTTATCAACCATTCGTCGCCATACGCGGCTAATGCTGCCCTTCTGCCTCTTGCAAACTACTTCATCATAGGCCATTTTATAGGCCATAGATGCACAGAAATTATTAACACGCGTGGACCCAAATTATTTAATAATGTGTAATTATTCTGTAGACAAAACAATGTGTGTGTGGTTATATTTTTTCTATTGACTATTATCAAAAGTACTATTCTAGAAACAACATAAATAATAATAATAATAATCATAATAATAATAATAATAATAGTAGTAGTAGTAATTATAAAAAATTAGGTTTCCAAAAGTGTGTAAATGACAAAAACAAAGTTTAAGGCTGATGTCTCTATTCATTTTCACAGAAGCAAAGCAGCAGATGTTATAAATAAAAACAGTTAACAATGTTATTGAATAGAATATATTAAAACCGTTATTGCACGACATAGGCCTATATAGGGTACACAGACAAAACAGTCGGAGATGCGTTTATGAATTTTTTTTTCTATTTTACGCATCAGTTGTAAATCAAGACTTCGCAAGTTCTCTTGTAAAATAAAATAATAAAAAAACAACATGGAATAAACTGTGTACAGAAAGCGAGTATAGACTATAAAGAACTCTCAACATTAGGCTACTAAAAAGGTCAGTTTAATCTCGCAAAAACTCCCGTTAATAAAAAATCTGACTACACTGCACAATAATCTCTTTACACTGCATCTTTGTTGCTTATGATGAATTCGTCGCTTGCACGTACACCGCTTTTATTATTATTGCAGCTTAGATGTTCAAATAGCTGCAGTACTCCTACTTTGCCACAAGGAAATGTGCGTACGCCTGCTCAGACCCTGACGTAGCAGTAAGTACTTTTCCACGTCAAAGACCGTTTTTATAAATATGAACGTTGCCGTGGATTTTAGTGTACACACACTCTAAGATCAAATCTGTGCGTACGCACATTTTAACAGTCTGTGGAGATGCGGGGGATTGAACCCAGGACCTCATACATGCGAAGCATGCGCTCTACCGCTGAGGTACATCCCCAGTTGCAACACATATTTTCTTTGTGTTGCTATAATTGCTATAAAGTCCAGTAGAGGGAACTCTAAAGGATTGCTTTAAATTCTTTGTATGAAATTCACAAACAGTGCTTGGAGATGCTGGGGATTGAACCCAGGACCTCATACATGCAAAGCATGTGCTTTTTTTATTTTTTATTTTATTTTTTTATTAAAATTACACAAATTTCATACATTCACAGCCTTACATTTGAAGTATATTCACAAAACAAAACAGACAAACAAAAAAAAGTTAGAACATTTCAGGCAAAATTACATTAAAACCAGACCATGTTTTTACAATGTATGGGTTATTTTCTACAATATATTTGTTAAATACATCCATTTGTCCATTCATATTAAAATAATCATATATGTCCTCTATCACTGCAGTCAAATACTGTTTAAATAAGCTACACAATAACAGTTCTTTTTTCTTCAATTTAATTATATTCCTTCGTCTCCAAATCGTATATCTTGCTACTGTTAACCATAAATTTAAAGCATAAACATTTTTTGCTTTTCCATTAAAGCCAAATAAAAACAATGTTTCCCAATCCTCTAACCAATCATTCTGATCACTTAAAAAAATCCCCCACAATTTTCCTTAACATCTTCATAAAATTTTCTAATTTTTTACATTTTAAAAACAAATGTAACACTCCTTCATCTTTTTCCATACATAATTTACATTTTGCATCTTGTGCCATTCCAATTTTTGCCAATTTGTGTCTCAACAAGAAATCTAAATGATCCAATATGGGACTTTTAAATTTCCATCTTTCATTTTTCCAAATCTTTGTTACATCTAGATCACAAAAAAACCTTTCGCAAAAATCTATTGCTTTTGGTCTTAAAAATACAAGATCACATATACAAACATAAAACATTTTAAGAACACAGCCATTGAAAGGAATCTGTTCATCATTTCTTTTAAAAAATATTTCAGGTTTCTCATTTCCTCTTTCTTTATCTTCAATGCTTTTAATCCATTGTAGTGGCACAGCTTCTTTTAATTGTATGTATTGTTCCTTAATCAACTGTCTGTTTTCTATATCTTCATTCTCCTCTAATGTCTCTATAATTGCCTGTATAGGTAAAAATCCTGGTTTTACTTCATATAAAATGTCTTTTACTTGTCTTAGTCCTGCATAATACCAATTCTTATAAAAAAATATATTTCTATTTCTTGTAATTAATTTGTTTAAGAAAAGGGGCTGTTTCAATAGTTGATCTCTTCCTTTAAACTCCACATAAACATTCTCTTTAAAAACTTTCCATGCTCTTAAGACTTCTTTATAAAATTCAGGTATCTTCTCAAGCATATTATCTTTAAAATTCATCCACAAAAAACTCATTATTTTTTTCCATACCATATCATCATTATTAAAAAACTTTTTTATCATCTTTATTCTCATACTCTTCATACTTACCATTGGATCTATGAGTCTCAAATCTCCCTTTTCCACCTCCCCAATTATTGTGTCATATGCTATTTTTGCAGGCTTATCATCCCATAAAAACTTTAAAATATACGTTTTTATTCTTTTGTACGCCCATGCTGGCAGACTAACCACACTTAAAATATACCACATCTTAGACAGAAATAAAGAATTTAAAACCAATACTTTCCCTTTTAAAAACAATTCTCTTTGTTTCCAAAAGTTTAGTCTTTTTCCATTTTAAGCAAATAAATTGTGCAGAATAGGTGTTAAAACATTTTTAAAAACCTTATAAAACTCAGATGTTAAGCCATCTAGGCCTGGACTTTTCCCATTATTCAATTGGTCTATGGCCTCTTCAATTTCCTCTTCATTTATATCCTTATCACACATTCTCTTATCTTCTTCATTTACTTGCATTTGAATTTGATTCAATAAAAACTCTTCATCTTTCACATTTATATCATTTAAAAAAAAAAATAAAGTAGTATAAAAATCCGTCACTTCATTCAAAATACATTGTTTTTCCTTCACAACATTCCCATCTTTTAATATACTTTTGATCAGTTCTGCTTGTTTTCTTGTTTTCTCCAACTCATAAAATAATTTCGTACTTCTTTCTCCCTCTACTGTATTTTTCACCCTGCTTCTTATTTTAGCTCCCCTGCACTTTTCCTCCTCTATTTTCCTAAATTCTTCTTCTAAAAACACTATTCTCGTCACATTCATCTTTCCTTCGGACACCTTTTTCATTTCTTCTTCCCATTCCTTATTTAAAAATCGTTC